TTTATTACTGCTGTTCGAAAAAGACCTTTTTTTTTCAAGAATAAAAAAAAAACTTTAAGTCAAGTTTAAACTGATGCATCTTGGACTGTGTTGTACTCACCCGATTTTACTGTATATATTCAGAAACTAAAAGATATTAACTATCAAATAACTTATCACACATGTAATTTTGACTCACAGTTCCTAAGTTATTTGATTTTCCATTTGGGAATGCAGAATAGAAGAGAATTTGGCAAAATGAGGTGGAGGTTAAGCGATTATCCCTGTTTATCTCTTTAGTTTTGTGAGAAAAATACACTTTAAACTACCTCAGCCGGTGTTTATCCCTTTAGTCATGATAAAAAAAACAAAAACAAATTAAGGTCAGATCGCGATACTCTTCAAAAAACACCAAAAAGGAAGCAACTAAATTATTTTTGTACATGACTAAAGGTATGCACACCTGTTCAGGTAGTTTAAAGTGTATTTTTCATCCAAAACTAAAGGGATAAACGGGTATTGAATGGGTATCCAGATTGGACAGAACACCGGTGTCTATCTAGTCTATGGAGGAGAGGTGGGGTCCATTCTGGACGGTTCGCCAAGCTGTCGCAGGGCAACACAGAGACACACAACCATTCACACACCTTAGGACAATAAGAGAAGCAAGTTAACCTAACAGTGATGTTTTTGGACTGTGGGAGGAAACCGGAGTACCCAGAGTGAACCCATGCATGCTTAGGGAGAACATGCAAACTCCACACTTCAAAAAACGATCTAGAAATAAGTAAAAATGTCTTAAATTAAGTTTATTTACCCTTAATTTGAGTAGGTAAAGGAGATAGTTTGCCAATGGAATTAGTATTTTTACACTTAAAATAAGATAATTTGATAATATACACTTGAAATAAGACAATGCTATTCTGTTTTCTTATTTTAAGTGTAAATTATCTTGTTCCATTGGCAAAATGTCTCTTTTACCTCCTTAATCCAAGAACAAATGCACTTATTTTAAGAAAAAATTTATTTAGATTTTTTGCAGTGCATGCAGAAAGATTAATGATCATATCATTTATATACCAGTTTTAACTATATTACTAATTATTATTACTAAGTTTCTTATAGTGTATTTTTATTGATATTGATAGAAAGTTGTTTGGTTGACAGACAGAGAGAAACTGGTGGTGAAATTTCACTTAATGCTCCTTTTCCTGTATTTTAATCATGTAAAGCACTTTGCATTGT